GGTCGGGGATGGTTTTGAGGAGATGAACGTAGCGCCAAACGTATGAAGCCTCCAACGTATCCACACGAACTTGCTCCGGAGTCCAAGATTAAACTTGTGCTAGCAAGTTTAATATAGGATAGTAAAAACTATAATAATACTACTTTGGGAGTAATAAATATATAGTAAAATATTTATCTTATAAATATTTGTTTATAATATTTTGTGTATATTTCTAACACTTTAGAAAAATAACTTTGAACACAAAATAAAATTTTCTTCTCTCTTCCTTGTGATGGCCGAATATCACTTCATGAAATGGGGAGGGATTTTTCTCATTTTATAACATAATACATTAAGGAATTTCTAGGAATTTGCTTTGGGACAAAACAAAATGAGATTAGTGTAATGTCCCCAACCAACACAACAAGACAAGTATACTTTTGTTAATCAAATATTTGATTATAAAATCAAATATATCATTAGGTGGAATATCAAAATATGTTTTGTATTTTTCCCCTTAGAATTTCGGCCATAGTATATTAAAATACATTACATTTTATTTTTGCATCAATAATTATCATATAATTAAAATGATGAAAATAAAAGTAATATATGTATATATATCGGCGCTACATATATATATATATAATAAAATTTGTTTTGTCAAAATATAATTATCATATAATTAAAATGACACCAAAAAAAAATAATTTTAAAATACATATGTATTTTCGAAATACATATATATATAAAATTATCACAACTATATATTTAATATTACTCCCACTAGTGTAGTATATGGAACAATACAAAACAAGATGTGAAACAGTGACACCAACAGTGAAAGACTGAAGAATGAAGAAAATATAGCTCGCACTGGTCATACAGCCTAGAATAATATTTATGGAAAATATCATTTCAACATACAACTTGGATCATATGAGGAATGTTACAGATGCAATTCTAAGTCTAATCTCCTAGGATTCACAAATTCATCATAACTAACCCCAGGTCCCGGGAAAGCTTTAGCAAACTCTAGTTTGTCTAAAAGCTCGTCAACAGACAAAGAAGAAATAAAAAGTTTCCTCTGACTGAAAGCCATGAAGTTCTGCCTCACCGCATCGTCTAAGAATTTGAGAAGGTTATTGAAATAACCGTCAATGTTTAAAATACCAATGGGTCTATTGTGTAACCCTTCAGAAGCCCATGAGATCAAGGTAAACAAACCTTCCATAGTATCAACTCTTCCAGGAAGAACAATGAAAGCTTCCACGTCATGATTCATCTCAAAATATTTGTAATAGTTGCTGGAAACTGTATGCTCTACACCGTACGTAGGTCCGTAGACCCGTCGTGTTGCTATGTACCCCGGAATGAAACTCTAACGAGACCACCATTGGTAAAAACTATTGAAGCAACAGCTCCTTGTAGGCCAACGTTGCCTCCTCCATAAGCAAGACTAATTCTTTGCCTTATTAATGAAGTGGATGAAGAAATGCTTTGACATAAGATCAATGATGACAAAGACTTCCTCACAAATGATGATGAGTCCCATATTCTGAACCGACACAAGCCATTTGATGTTATTTACAAGTCATTGCTAAACTATGTGAATGATGAGAAGATACCATGAGTGACTTGAGAGGTTACGCTATGACGTATGAATTAAAACAAACTCAAAATCGCCAACTATACCTATCGTGAATGTGATGATTTGAAACTGAAAATGCTAATAAAAGACCTCTAAGCAAAGGAGGAATATCGTTAATCAACGTTGCACAATTGGGAATTGTGTTATGTCCAAGTATGTCAAGTATACAACCTTATACACTGCGAAGGAACCTTAGTTGTTGGTATTGAAGGATCACGAAATGCCTTGCTTAACCAAAGAACGAGTTTGGTAACATCGACAGTTTGAGAATACATATTCGTGTGGATAATGACGTGATTATGATTTAACTGAATGAACATGACACGGTCATTATTAAGTGCGATCACAACAAAATGTTGAACGTTGAGCCGTAGAAGAATTTCGAGGACGAAATTCCTTTAAGGGGGGGAGAAATGTAATGCCCCAAAACATACCCTAGAATTATTAATAAATTAATAATAAATTAATCAAATTTTTTTTGATTAAAATAATTTATTGTTGGACTTTGGGCCGAAATAATATGTGTTTGATATCCAATATCCTAATCTGGAATGATTTATTTAAATAAATCATGAGAATAAATAATATGAATTTAGTATGAGCACCTTTTTAAGTAAAGGTAAAATAAATCAATTTTGACTTTGTCAAAGTCAAACACCAAAAATATGATGTCAGAAAAAGTATAACAAATAAATGTAAAAATTATATCGTTGGATAGAGTTTAATTGCACGATCGCAACGGTGCAAACGGATTTCAATTCGGAGAAAGTTGGACCAAAAAGTATACCCCGACTAAGACCAAATTAGTCCCAATCAGAGAGTAACGTGCTGAGTCTCCTTAACTCGCACTATTGCCGAAAGAGAACGTGAATTTCCTAGGCAGCATCTACTCAGACTTTGTTTCCTTCTTCTTCATCTTCCCTATATAAGGAGAGACCTAAACTCTCATTTCTTCACCATTCATCTTCAAACTTCTTCCTAAGTGTTTCTAAGAGTGTAAGGAGTGTAGTGGTGCTGTCAATTTGGTGTGAAGCCGCCGGAGCTAGCCACAAACCTCGCCGGAAGTCTCGCCGGAAAATCTTCAAAACCTTCATTTACCTTCGAGGTAAGCCCATAGATATATCTAGTGACTAGAATGTTCGTATAGATCGTTTCTACGTTCATAAACGGTCGTTTGGTTGAGTTTTGTGCTTGATATGTTTGAAAAACCAAGAATCATAAACCATGAAATTGTTGTTAAAACTACGAGTTAATGACTCTAAAATGATCTCTGAACATTCGGGAACATTTCTATATAATTTAATTGAAATTTGGTAATTAAAAATGATAATGTTAAAAACTGACCAGAGGAAGAAGATGATGAACAGTGGCCAAAAATTGATTATTTCCTTCCTAACAATCGATTAGAAATTTGTTCAGATGAGGTGTTCGAAGTCAGTATATTAAAAATATATATATAATCGATTATTCTAATTATAAAAATCAATTTAAATGTATCAATCGATTATTTAATAATTAAAAATTTTAAGGTATTAATTGATTATTTAAAATATAAAAATCAATTTTTAGGTATTAATGGATTATTTAAATTGTAAAAATCGATTATTATTAATTAATTGATTATTTAAATTGTAAAAATCTATTTTTATGGATTAATTGATTATTTATATTGTAAAAATCGATTATTATTAATTAATTGATTATTTAAATTATAAATATGAATTATTATGAATTAATAGATTATTTAAATTGTAAAAATCGATTATTATGAATTAATTGATTATTTTAAATTATTTTCCTCAATTTGAGATCCTGCTACGAAAATGTTCCTGAAAATATGCTCTAAAATCCTATTTTTGATACCAATTAATTATGCACAATATAAATATGATTTTGTATAATAAAAATGATGTTTTTGGGATATAAAATATTATGTGATACATGACGGTAAGTTCGGGTGTTAACACTCGAGAATAGGCTGCTGTTTGTTATCAAATGTTATGTTGATTGATGATTATGATGAATGATTATTATGATGATTATGACTTGATGAAACTACTGATTAAAATGATTATTGAAGATTAAATTATGAATTGAAATGAATATGTTGATGATTATGAAATGATTTGAATTGTAAGGATATCTAGAAGAACTCTAAGATATACCTAGGTTGACGTTGGTTTCTAAGACTATCTAGAAGACCTCTAAGATGGCTTAGAAATAGGCCTTG